ACATGTACTATTAGTACACATCTCCTAAACGTTCATCTTCAACGGCGCACTGCCCAAAAAGATACGCCGCTTGACATGCTTATAATTATAAGGTTGGGAGGAAAGTCGGGGGTGGGGAGACGGTGGAGGTATAGTAGCGAGACGGTGGAGGACGTGGTGGAGAGACACAGATACGCCGATACGGAGAGGACGGAGAGGGTTTGGTGATATTATTTCTGGGAATGGACACAGAGCGACACACACAGAGTGACCGACAGCAGGGCAGCAGGAGGGGGACGGACTCTGACACAGAGAGATTGTTCGTGATGTAATTAATCATCGTCATCATCATCATCGTCATCGTCATCGTCATCATCCTCCTCCATCTGCAGGAGATGTTCCACTGATGCTATTATTATATCTATATGTCTAATACAGCAGCAGCTTTAGCAAAAGAGCGTCCTTGACGTAATAATTAATAAGGACACGCCTTTGCAGAAAGTATAAGGACACGCCTGACAAGATACGTGCTCTGCTGTGATACGTGCTGAAAAAAAATAGGAGTTAGTTCCAGAAGTGCTTATAATTATATGTATGTACTTCTTTGTCGTCCAACAACTACTGGTGGGCGCAATCTATAATAATGATGATGATGCTAAATGATGATGATGCTAAATATCACGCAGAGAAGAACAGAGAATAGAGCACAACAACCACCAATACAACAACCCCGCGAATCGCGCTTTGTCGTATATTAGTAATAAAGTGCGCCGCCCCTACTTCTCACCGCTCGCCGACGACAAACAGACAATTGAAATGAGACCGTCACAGCGAGAGCTATCAGGACGTTTTTAAAATTTTATTTATGGAGCAGGCGCGAAATAGAAAACAAGCCGCGAAGAAGCAGAAGACGACATGTGTCTAATGCGCGCGAACCACGGAACAAGACAAACACCAATCAATACACCGCAACAAAAGCACAAAGATACAGCTTTAGCGTCCTCGAAAGGACACGCCGGCAGTAAGGGCGATTTACAAGAAAGTTGTGGAATATAGACTAACGCTGCCCGATACAAGTCATCGGCTACTCCCGCCGGAGTGGTCAGGGAGCCTGTGGTGTGCTAAGACATAGTAATTTGCAGTACGTATGCGCAATTGGTGATCGTGGGTTCAAGTCACGGCTCATGCGGGTGCGATTTGCGTTCATCGCTGACGCGTTATGTTAATCGACTTGTCCAGCAGCAGCATGAGACGATGTATTAAGCTTTCTTCAACTTTTGTTTTATAAATAATAACAATCATTGTTGAATTGTTGAAACAAGAAAATGTGTTTTTTCTTAATGTAGATATATATAACATAACGTTTTTTTCTGCATGCTGCAGGACAGGAAGAAGCAGGAACAGGAAAACGTACGTGAGGAGGCGGCACGTGCTATTATTATTATAGAGTGCT